GACATTTCCTTTGTTTGTTAAGAAAAGAGCAAGATTCTTCAGGAAAGTCCTGTTGCATTCTAATGAAGTTTTAGTTTTAGCCTTCTTAAGCATACTTTTCTTCCATTTGGGTATAAACAGTGTCCACTTTCCTGTTCAGTCTGACCTACACTCAATATGTGCTCTATTGATGTGACAACCCTCAAATTTTGCAGAGTGCAAAATGAAATAAATCTCATTTCTTCTATTTGCTCACAAAGTTATTCCTTTGTGTTGCCCAAGTTTCTCACATTTTAGATTTTCTTTTGTGGCTCAAATCAAACAGCTTTCATTTTATTCTTTAAAGGTGCACTTTGCTGTGATATCTTCAGTTTTGAATTGTTGCATCCAGTTGAGAGTTTTGAAATTTTTTGTAAAACTCAGCCTGTTATCCTTTTCTCTATCTTTGAGTTTGTCATTGGTTTTACCCATTTTGGTATAAAAACTTTGAAGCTATAATTGCCTGCCCTTTGAAATGGAAGACATCTTTTTGGATGTCTATTATATGAGTAAGGCATCTCATGAATTCTGGGTTTGGTTGGACTTTTTGAACCTACCATATAAACACAGTATTTCTTTTATCTCTCCTTTTAGTTGAAAAAGTACTTAATTCTCTTTGCATTTTTCTCAGATTCCCAAATCATCTTGGAAAGGCTCAAGCACATACAGTGTCTCTGGTGGTGGTCTAACTTTTTTATACTGTCAATTAGTGGGAAAACCAGCATTTGTTTGTCTCCTGCTCTGGACTTTGGAAAGACAGTCTCGTTTTTACCCAGAATCTTGCAAACTGGGTGGTTCAGGTAGTTCTCAACTTATGACCACAATTGAATCCAAAATTTCTGTTGCTTAAGTGAGATAGTTGTAAAATGAATTTTGCTCCATTTTACAACCTTTCTCATCATAGTTGTTAAGTGAATCACTGCAGTTGTTAAGTTAGTAACACAGTTGTTAAATGAATCTGACTTCCCCATTGATCTTGCTTGTCAGAAGATTGCAAAAGGGGATCATGTGATCCCGGAACACTGCAACTGTTATAAATATGAATCAGTTGCCAAACATCTGAATTTTGATCATGTAACCATGGGGATATTACAAGGGTCGTGTGAAAAGCAGTCATAAATCATTTTTTTCAGTGTTGTTACAACTTTGAACGTTCACTAAACACTGTTGTAAGTCAAGGAGTACCTGTAGCTTTAATCACGCCATGTTATGATTTAGTCAACTACTTGCATCCTATTTCACAATAACAGGTATAGATTCAACTTTCCAGTTTCATCTGACATTTGGATCTTCACCTCATCAGGTTGTGGAGTTTGGCAAAGCTGACCTATCCATTAGTATTGTCATTACTCCATGCCCAACCCCAAATAAAGTTAGCTTGTTTTTTTAATTGGGTTGTGCATCAATCCAGACAGTGCAAAAAAGTGATCTAAGCATGCATGGTCATGTAATTTTGTAGCATTGGTATTCCACATTTTTTTCGGGACTTGTGCATCTGAGCTACTTGATCTTGGGAAAAAAGATGACTTAAAGGAGACCTGACAGGTATAATGTACAGACACATTCTAAATAATCTTTCCCCTTTGAATCCAGGTAGCTAGATATTACTTACCAGTTTGTAAGTAAAAAACAGTAAAGAATTGTGTATTTACTAATAACTGGGTGAGCATCTAAATTCACACATTTCACCACTTGAGTTCACTTTGATTTCAGGATGCTGTTAGGCCCTTCAGAATATATAAAATACACAGAAATAGAAAATATGAAGCAACCATTAGTAAACCATGAACATTATCCAGGAATACCAGATAACATTGCCCTGTTTTGAGTCTTATTGGTATAAGAGGAAAGGAAGGGGAAACACAGTCAGGTTTTCAAGATTTTGTTATAGGCTAAGTACAGTTTTAGTATTTGCCAAGATGGTGGCAGTGTAGGAAGCAGTATCAGATCATGGGGAGAGAAGTTACTAAACTAAATAGGAAGGAACAAGGAGTCTCAAGGAACAAGCAAAGTCTCAAAATGAACAAACACTTGCAACAGAAATAAAGGATAATAAAAATGTTTCTTTCAACATATTAATAACAAGAAAAAGACAAGGAAACTGTAGGTCCACTAAACAGAGAATATGGCAAGGAAGTAACAGGCAGTAGGGGGAAAGCAGAGCTGCTTAACTCATTCTTTGCATCAGTCTTCACACAAAAAGAAATCATAGGCCAACATGTTAAAAAAACTACTGTAAAAGACAAATTAGAAACAAAAATTAAAATAAGAAAATGGTAAGAGAACACCTATCCGACTTTGACAAATATAAATCACCAGGACCCAACAGATTACATCCCAGAGTTCTGAAGGAGCTGGCAGATGTTATCTCAGAATCATTGCACCGTATCTTTAAAAAATCCTGGAGTGCCAGGGAAGTAACTGAGGATTGGAAAAGGGCTGATGTGGTTCCCATTTTCAAGAAAGAGAAAAAAAACAGACCTAGGAAACAATAGATCAATCAGTCAAACATCAATACCTGGGAAGATCCTGGAAAAGATAATAAAAAAACAGATCTGTGAACAACTAGAAGCAAACAAAGTTACAACTAGTAGCCAGCACAGGTTTGTTAAAAACAGATCATGTCAAACCAATCTTATTTCGTTCTTTGATGAAGTGACTAAATTAGTAGACCAACGAAATGCTCTGGACATAGTATACTTAGATTTCAGTAAAGCATTTAACAAAGTAGACCACAATCTACTGCTTGGTAAGGTAGAAAAAGGTGGAATAGACAACATCACCTCCAGATGGATTTGTAGCTGGCTGACAAACCATACTCAACGTGTGGTCCTCAATAGTACAACATCCACATGGATAGGACAGAACTGAATAGAATAGCTGGAAGGGACCTTGGAGGTCCTCTAAGCAGTGATGGCACACTCATGATTTCTGAAGGCAAGCTGTTCCACTGGTTAATTGCCCTCACTGTTAGGAAGTTTCTCCTTAATTCCAGGTTGATTCTCTCTTTGATCAGTTTCCAACCATTGTTTCTTGTCCTGCCCTCTGGTGCTTTGGAGAATAATTTGACCCCCTCTTCTTTGTGGCAGCCTCTCAAATATTGGAGTAATGCTATTATCTCAGAAGTAAGCAGTGGGATACTATAAGGTTCTGTCCTAGGCCCAGTACTCTTCAGTATCTTCATCAATGATTTAGATGAGGGAATAGAAGAGGAAATCATCAAATTTGCAGATGACACTAAACTGGCAGGAATAGCCAACACCCCAAAAGACAAACTCAGATTCCAAAAAGATCTTGGCACACTTGAACAATGGGCCCAATCCAACCAAATGAATTTTAATATGGAGAAAAGCAAGATTTTACATTTAGGCAAGAAAAATCAAAGATATAAGTACAGATTAGGCAAGACCTGGGTCAAAAACAGTGACTGTGAGAGGGACCTTGGAGTCCTAGTGGATGATCACTTGAATGTGAGCCAGCAGTGTGCAGTAGCAGCCAAAAAAGCTAATGCAATCCTGGGCTGTATAAACAGGCATAGAATCAAGATCATGTGAAGTATTAGTACCACTTTATAAAATCCTGGTAAGACCACACCTGTAATACTGCAATCAGTTTTGATCACCATACTACAAAAAAGATGTTGAGACTTTGGAAAAAGTTCAGAGAAGAGCAACTAAAATGATCAAAGGCCTGGAGACTAAAACATGAAGAATGGCTGCAGGAGTTGGGTTTGGCTAGTCCAAAGAAAAGGAGAAATAGGGGTGACATGATAGTATTATTCCAATATTTGAGGGCCTGCCACAAAGAAGAGGGGGTCAAATTATTCTCTAAAACACCAGAAGGTAGGAGAAGAAACAATGGTTGGAAACTGATCAAAGAGAGAAGAAGCCTAGAATTAAGGAGAAACTTCCTAACAGTGAGGACAATTAACCAGTGGAACAGCTTGCCTTCAGAAATTGTGGAGAAAATTCCTGGAGGTTTTTAAGAAGAGATTAGATAGTCACTTGTATGAAATAATGTAGGTTCTCCTGCTTGAGCAGGGGTCTGGAGTAGAAGGTCTCCAGAAGACCTTCCAGCCTCGCTTCTATTCTATTCTATTCCTATTCCTATTTCTTTGATGTCTGTTTCTTGACTTTGCTTACCTGAAAGAACTGACAAAACTGAGTGAAATGATAAGTGCAGTATTGAGGACAGTGAGTGCCTATTTGTTTGAATAGGTATGTATGTAAGCACAAACCCATATGTGTGAATTCATATAAGACATCAGATAACTATGGAGGTAATCACAAGTTTTTTCTAGTTGGGGATTGAGGCATTTGTACATGAATAGAATCTTAATGATGCTATATCAAGAAATACAGTAAAGCCTCTGAATCTTGGGAAATGCTTAGGATCAAGCTTTGTTTCCACATATAATTTTCTCCCCTCCATGGCTCATAATTGTGCTGTTCTCTCTGGTCCTCAATCAGCATGTGATTTCCTATGAGTAGAAACTGACATGTGAAGTAGGGAACAACACTTGAGATACCCTAGGAAGAAATTGTCATGAGCAGTAGTTGCCCTGCTACATCATCCCAACTGGTATTGAATCTCAAATTCTGCAAGGGGGTTAAATTCTGATAAACAAATACAATCATGCTGACTCCATCATGTCTGAATTTTCAAAGGTCTTAAGACTTGGTTATGCCTGAGAACTCTGGAGGACCAGCAAACTAGTGAAGTGGTTCCATTATTATTAACATCACCTGTTATTGTTTTTAGCTTTATTTTATACTTTTCAATGTTTCATTTTTTTTATTTCAATCAATCAAATAATATAATAACTAACTAAATAAATATATGAAAGTTTAACAATGTATGCAATTCCAACACGGAATTATATTTAACAATAAATACATGGATTTAATTTTATAAAACTAATCCTTTTTGTTAAATATATAGCAGGTTTAAATTTTAGTTTGTTAATGGTGTTTCTGTTTTAGAGAAGTCTGACTCTTTCACCAGTGGTACTTTAAATGCATCCCCAAGTGACCCCAACTCTGCAAATCCAACAATTGCTTCTGTTCCTACACTGGCTGTGTTGTCACGTCAGACTGGAGATTCCAAACCTCCACAAGCCATTGTCAAGCCTCAGATCCTTACACATATCATAGAGGGCTTTGTCATTCAAGAAGGGGCAGAGCCTTTCCCGGTAAGAAGACTGTTAGCATTTTGATCCCTTTTGTCATTCTAAGTTGATCCTAATACAAATCTCAGAATTATGGGGAAATATATATGAAAATATTTGATAGGAAACAATGAGTAGATGAAAATGATGAATGCTTATTATTTTTTGCATTATGGGACAAGTATTATTTGTTAGTGCAGCTCAATGGCAGTATTTACAGTGACAACATCTATTAATGTTCCAGTTTGGACCTGTGACATTTTAGCCTAATAAACATAATCAACTACAAACATTAAATCTTATGACCCCCCCAATCCATTATAATTGCCCTCTATAAAATCCTGTTGTGGTGAATTAATTTGATATAAAACTTAAAAAGCTGAATGGAAAAAAGAATTAGATTAGGGCATGGGAGTAGTTTTAATATCAGTACCAAAAATTTCAGTAAATCTTAAATTATGTCTTATTCAATGCCAAAAAATATTTCAGATTTGTTGGACTTTGCATTTATATAGAAAAGACTACATAAATATAATACATTTATAATATATAAATTGTCATGCTATTGGGGTTGCAATGAGATTAATAGTTCTTATAGCAATAGCACTTAGACTTATATACTGTTTCATAGTACTTTATAGTACTCCCTAAGTCAGGGCTTTTCAACCGGTGGTACGTGTACCACCTGTGGTACATTGGCACCTGGCAGGTGGTACGCGACCATCCTAGAAAAGTAGCAAGGGAGGGGAATGAGCTGAACTGGCGGCAGCACCGCACAAGGCTGGAGCTTGAGGGCTGTCAGGGCTCAGCAGAAACGCTAGGATCAGCGCCGGGCTCCAGCTGATCGGCGCTTCAGGGCTCAGCGGAAGTGCCAGGATCAGTGCCGCTTTCCAGTTGATTGGCACTTCTTCAGGACTGTCAGGGCTCAGCAGAAGCACCAGGATCAGTGCTGATCCTGGCGCTTCTGCTGAGCCCTGAAGAAGTGCCAATCAGCTGGAGTTCGGCGCTGGTCCTGGTGTGTTTGCTGAGCCCAGAAGAAATGCCAATCAGATGGAGTTTGGCACTGATGAGCCCAGAAGAAGTGCCTATTTGGAGCCCTGCCCCTACTCTGCAGAGGGCAGATCCCCATCATCCCTAGCCTGGCAGGAGTCTTCCTGCTGCACCGTTGCAAACAAAGAGGGGCTCCGGTGAAGAGGAGGTGGAGGAAGAGGATTTAAGCAAACTTAGTAACCGGAGTGGGGATTCCCCCCCAAAAAACAAACATGCTTCATGGGTAACCTTCCAACACAACAGAAATGACCAAAACCTGGTGCACCCACCCAGCAGACAGGGAGGGGAATAAAAATGAAACACACATACCCTCACTGCCAATCCTCAACAGAAATGCTAACAACAACAAAAACCTAGGACAGGAGGAAGAACGTGGCCAGGTGGGCAGGCTGGTGTCTTCCTCGGCTGTGGTTTGGGATGGAAGGGGGCAGCTTCAAATCCCCAAACGCTGCCCTCTCACGAAATCAGGATGAAAACTCCAAAAAACGACGGGGGGGGGGGGAAAGGTTAAAACAGAAGAGTGTCTCGTGATGGCTTGCTTTCCCACTACCTTCTAGCAATTTAAATATGTAAAGACCACAAAAGAAAAAACTTGGCTTTCTTTCATTGTAATCCAGAAGGCAGGAATGGGAGGATGGGGGGGGGGTTGTTTCAAAGGAAGTGATGAAAGTTAGCCCAGAAGGAAATATTAAAAAGGGCAGAAAAATATATTTTTCCTCAAAAGGACTTTTTAAAACCAAACTTGGCCCCAAATCTATCTCTCTGCCCCAAGCAAGACTTTAGCCCTATACAAATGCAAATGTAAAACCATCAGAAAGTTGGAGCCAGAGCAATCAAGAAGACAAAAGAGAAGATCTGCATACCCCACCCAAACTCTAGGAGTCAGCCCCATCACCTGGGAAGCAGGATATGATAACAGAATTAAACCACAGATATCAAGGCCTAGACAAACACTCAGAAACAGTCTCAAGGTTCATGCCACAGGAACAGGAAACTATTCCAAACAAAAGGCTAGGGGGGGTATAAAACCTACTGCCCATGTGCTCAATCTCGCTCTGTGCTCTCTGCCCTTCTCTCTCCTCTGCACTTTCCTGAAGAACCATCTTTCTGCAATAAACTGCAACCTTCTTCCCAAAGCAATCACCATGTTTGCTTATTTATTCCCGGCTTGGATGAACCAGGATGAAGACCTTACTTCTAACAGAAGGGAAAGAAGGGATTTGGGTCTAGGGGGGCGCAGCAGGTGAACGGTGATGGTGTGCAGCTTCTGGTGTTCAGGCGGGCAGTCTTTTTAAAAGAGCAAAACAAGGCAAAAAATAAAAATCTCCCACTCCAACCCCAAGAACTGGATGCGGATGTGATTTTTTTTTTTCTTGTTCAGAAGAGACACTCTTCTGTTTTAACCTTTTTTCCTGGTTGTTTTTTGGAGTTTTCATCCTGCTTTTGTGAGAGGGCAGCTTTTGTGGGGTGTGTGTGAAGCTGTCCCCTCCCCCCCCCCCAAGCCACCAGCCAAGCAAGATGCCACCTGCCTGCGCTCTTCCCCTGTCCAAGGTTTTTGTTGTCGTGAGCATTTCTGTTGAGAATTGGCAGGGCGGGGTGGGCTGTTTGTTTTTTATTCCCCCCCCCCATCTGCTGGATGGTTGCAGCAGGTTTTGGTCACTTCTGTCATGCTGGATGGTTACCTACGAAGCACGTTTTTTGGGGGGGATCCCCACTCCAGTTGCTAAACTTAAACCCTCTTCCTCCTCCTTTTCATTGGAGCCTCCCTTTGTCTGCAGTGGTGGGGCAGGAAGACCCCTACCGGGCTGGGGATAATGGAAATCTGCCCTCTGCGGAGTAGGAGTAGGATTACTATGCTCCTTGTCAATAGGTTTAATTTCCTTTCTTTAACCCCCCCCCCCACCTCCCCTGCTTGTAGCTGTTTCTGAGTTTGGGAGTTAACATTGCCGGCATCTCTTTCTCCTGAGCCCCTCGTGCTGAGTAACTGTTGTCACCCAAGAGTTGTTTTAAAGTTAGGTATCTTTGGGGGGATAGCCAATTAGCACCCCAACATGCCCCCCATGCCCTCACTTAAAGTGCAGAAGCCGCACCCCCCCCCCTCCAAAGCCCCTGCAATTACCTATCAGCTTCTTTGAGTCAACCAGAAGGAGAGAAGGGGATAGAATAGTGCAAAGATTAATGTCAGAGAAACAGGCACAAGTTTCCCATTAAAAGTGTGGTAAGTGGGTGTACAGATAGTCCTCAACCTACAATCACAATTGAGCCCAAAATTTATGTTGCTAAGTGAGAAATTTGTTAAATGAGTTTTGTCCCATTTTATGACTTTTCTTGCCACATTTGTTAAGTGAATCACTGCAGTTGTTAAATTAGTAACACGGTTGTTAAGTGAATCTGGCGTCCCCCATGGACTTCGCTTGTCAGAAGTTCGCCCAAGGGGATCACGTGACCCTGGGACACTGTGACCGTCATAACTATGAATCAGTTGCCAAACATCTGAATGTAAATCACAAGACCCTGGGGATGCTGCAACAATCATAAGTGTGAAAAATGGTCATAAGGCACTTTTTTCAGTGCCGTTGTAACTTTGAACAGTCACTAAGCGAACTGTTGTAAGTCAAGGACTATCTGTATTTTATCACCCCCCCCTTTTTTTTTTTTGGTTATCGAGTTTTGACATCTTGTTAGGTGACTGGTGGTACTCGGATATTGCCATATTCTAAAAGTGGTACAATGGGTAAAAAGGTTGAAAAGCCCTGCTCTAAGTGATTTCCAGAGTCAGCATATTGTCCCCAACAATCTGGATCTCATTTTATCTACCTCGGAAGGATGGAAGGCTGAGTCAACCTTGAGCTGGTCAGGATTGAACTCCTGGCAGTGAGCAGAGTTAGCCTGCAATACTGTATTCTAATCACTGCGCCACCACATCTCTTATAAATACATCTCCTATTTATACATACATACATACATATATACATACATACATATACACACACACACATACACACACACAAATACATATAAATACATATTTCTTCCTTGTCCTGTAATTGTTCCATTGAGGTAGTTACTACATGTAAGAACTTATGAGACAAGATTTGATATGTTCAGATTCTTTTGAACTATATTTCTACTGCATAGAGGCAGACATCTGAATATAGAAAGTAGAATTTTTGTTTCCTATTAATAGCAAAAAGATGTATTCTTTAGCATTGCAAAGAAATATGGCCCTCAGCTCCTTAGTGGTCTTCAAAGTTAACGTTATGAGTATTTATTGACATAGATTATAATGAACGATTATAATGAAATCCAGCTACCATTCATTGAAATGTTTATATAGAATGTTTATATATGTGCATTCTTTATCCTATTTCCTGTTCTAAAATTGTATTATATTTCCTTTTCTTTTTGTTTTTGTACTCAAATCAATTAAAGCAAACATTTTTTAAAAAAAATTGGGACAATGTAACATAACCAAGCAATATATTCTTCCTTGCTCTTCTGTACCTGCCAGAATGAGCTACCTATGGACTAAGCTGATGTTATCAAAGCCAGAGGGAAAAAATGCAGTAATTCTAAAGGCTCTAATGAGGTGTGTAAAAGGTAAATGCTGTTGATGAAGCTAATGCAAGTTTTTTCTCCCTCTTCTCTTGAATGCAGGTGGGCTACTCTCAGTTCCTTAAAGACTTTGAAAAGCCTCTTCAAGGGGCTACTCCTTCTAGGCAGCCTGACAACCAACCCAGCAACTCTCCTGGAGACGAAAGCTTAGCAGTTGGTAAGTGTTTGCTGAGAACTAAGAGTAGATAGAAAGAAATCTTGCATCATGGTTATGGTGAGATATTTTCCTTCTACTACTGGTAAATACTTTTCAAATATTTTGTCCATTTTTCTATTTTTTTTAAAAGCAAAAAGAGGCTGAGTGCCAATTCACATTCTTAGGAATTGATGTGGTCTTCCTTGAAGAATTACCCAGACTGTTAGCATTACATTCAGTGTCAAGGTTTAATGTTTACCCAATATAAAAACTATGAGGTTTTGAGACTTTTTAAAGGGAGAGAGTCATGCTTTAAATAAATTTTTAGTGTATTCTTTCTGTGGAACAGTACAATTTTTTTTCAAATAGATTTTAGGTTTATATCCTGTTTTTGCTAATTAACAAATTAGTATCTCTCTTTTCCTCAGATCAAGACAAGAAAGGAAACTTGCTGAAATGTGAGTTCTGTGGCAAATATGGCCCTGCCAGTCAGTTCCGTGGTTCCAAGAGGTTCTGTTCTGTAACATGTGCAAAGAGGTAGTGAAAATTGGATCTTCTTCTTGAAATTTATGACTCCTAAACAAGTAATTTAGAGTGTGAATACCTAGATCCTAATAGAAAAGAAGCTTTATTTTATTTCTAACTAACAAAAATTCGTATTTATGTCTGGTCATAATAGGTATAATGTGAGCTGCAGCCACCAACTACGTCTGCAAAGGAAAAAAATAAAAGAGCTCCAAGAAGCAAACTATGCTCGTCATCGACGTGGACCCCGGCGCAACAGCTCTGAGATTGCTCGAGCCAAAATCCAGGGCAAGCGTCACCAGGTGAGGATATAGAACTATTCCTTTTTTCTACCATGTTTAGGATAGGTAGAATTAATGTGTGCTTGTCTGTTTTTCTGCCATGGTCCTGGGAGGCATTTTCAAACAGGGACATCTAGAAATGAATCAAGATTGGGACCATGTGGTGTGAGGACGGAGCTTAATGAAGTTTATGGCACGGTGGAAATGGCTCTGTCTTCCACTTTTTCTCAGAAACTTTGCTTTAGTTGCTGTGAGAAATGAAGAGAAGCTATCAGGTTTGCTTACCACCTTATTTCCCTGCACAACAACAGTGTGCCCAGCTACCTGAAGGACAGGAAAGACAGGGAATCTTCTAGACCTAGTTTGCCAAATAAGATGGTAATTGTAGCCTAGGGCCAACAAGAAAGGGTAACATAGAATATAGCAGTTTGCATTGTACCTAGTGCATATTTTGTGATTCCATATCATAAACATCTTGTGAGTAGGCAAACCATATGAAGGTAAGAGAGTGTTCACAACATGCTCAGTTTTTAAAATATGATATATAATTCTCAAAGTATTTGAATTGGACTAACTGTTCATAAAATATGTCCAATGGCTGAAAAATTAAATTTAGAAGCATTAAAAACAGTCCCAAAATTCATGGATGAAGTCTCTGAGGATATTTTGAAAGAATAGAAATGTAATGGGGTATAATGCAATGTCAAAATGAACATGTTAACCTCTTTATTACAGTTTCTGTTATAAAGCAATTATTTTGCAAATATTTTTTTTCCTGACAACCTTAATCTCCATCAGGGATAAGCAAAACTGACAAAACGACCTGCTGCTACAGTGAATATAATCTGTGTAATTCGTTGTCAGTATTATAGGTTCTAAATCATACCCCCTGTAAGGACCTGCCTCCCTCCTCCTACCAAGAAAGCAGAACTCTTGAAATACATGCCATTTCAACAGGAACTTTTATTGGCAGGTACAGATAGCAGGAAAGCTATCCCACCTGAATCAATAGGTTAAAGGAGCAATCGAAATTCCATCCCAACTGTCCTACAGATGGGCCAATCCATAGGTGTCACTTCGCTGTGGGAATGAACTGATAAGGTGTCTCTTCTCAAGGTTGTTAGGTCTTCACAGCTTCCTCCCTCTGCTCAGAGATAAGGCAGATGGCCTGGAGGCACGTTCCAATCACACCCTAAAGTGAGCACATCAAAGTAGATAGATCAAAGCAGAGACAGTATCCCCCTCCCAGTACTGCAAGGGTCCCCGTGACTCCCCTGCCAGGAGAATGGCAGAACCCAAAAAAGGACGATATATGGGAATTTGAGAATATACGGTTCTGACATGCCGCCCCTCTAGAAAAATGAGAGGTCCACCTGGAGAAAGAATAGAATAGAACAGAACAGAACAGAACCTTGGAGGTCTTCTAGTCCAGCACCCTGCTCAAGCAGGAGAACCTATACCAGGGGTAAGCAACCCAAAATACTCGAAGAGCCATTTGGACCCGTTTTCCACCCAAAACAAAACACTGGGAGCAGCAAAACCCATTTGACATCTAAAATGATGTCTCTCTCCTCTCCCTCTCTTTCCTCTCTCCCTCTTTCCTTTCCCTCTCTTTCCTCTCTCTTTCTTTTTCCTCTCCTTCTTTCTCTCTTTCCTCTCTTTCCTACCTCTTTCTCTCTCTTTCCTTTCCCTCTTTCTTTCCTCTCTCTCCCTCTCTTTCCTCTCTCTCTTTCTCTTTCCTCTCCCTCTTTCCTTTCCCTCTCTCTCATTCTTTCCTCTCCCCCTCTTTCCTCTCTTTCTTTCCTCCCCTCTATCTTTCCTTTCCCTCTTTCTCTTCTCTCCCTCTCTTCTCTCCCCCCCTTCTCTCTCTCTCCTCTGTCTTCTCTCTCTTCTCTCTCTCTCTCATCTCTCTTTCTCTTCTCTCTCTTCTATCTTTCTTCTCTGTCTCTCCTTCTGGAGAGGAAAACTTTATCCAGATCTTATTTAGATGTGACTCTCTCATAAACATAGTGTGAAATCCTTACCTGAGAGAGACAGAGGGAGGAAGGGAAGCTGGGTCTCCACTGAGCATTATCTCTTCAGCAGCATTACTGGGCCTTATCCACCTCTTTTCATCGGCTCCTGATAGATATGACAGCCAAGAGGGGGTCTGCTTTGTCTCAGGACTGGTGGATGGGAAAAGGCGGACTTTGGACTCCTGCCAAGGCCACAGGTGAGCCCTCCACCCCAACCTGGAGCTGACAATGTCAGTTCTGTCTGCCAGAGAAAATAGCTCTTGACAAAATCAGTTTTCAGCCGTTTGCGGGAGCTTCTTCCATTCTGCAGACCCAGCCGAGTGAGCGGCTCTTTGGCAGATAATCCACCTGCGACCAATAGCCTGGCAGTAGGATGAGGGTCTCTCTGTCTCCCCCCAATCCCCAGTTAGCATTCTCCCTGCTTAACCAGAAGAAGCTTGACTAGCTCGGCTGCCCAGGGAGCGGCCCAGGGACGGCAGAGGAAGCGATGACCCCACTGGCCGCCGCCCCAGCTGGGACTGCCGCCTGGCCCGGGGTGATGCGTGGCCGGCTCAGTGGCCCAAGAACGATGCCCCGCCAGCTGCTGCCCAGCCCAGGGCAATGCATAGCGGCCTGGGGACAGCCCAGGAATGATGCCCCTGCTGGCTGCCACTCAGCCAGGACTGCCGCCCGGCCCGGGGATGGCCCAGAAACGATGTCCCCGCCGGCTGCCGTCAGCCCAGGGCAATGCATAGCTGGCTCAGCGGCGCAGGGACGGCCCAGGAACGATGACCCTGCCAGCCACCGCCGCAGTCGGGACTGCCGCCTGGCATGGGACAACAAGTGGCTGGCTCAGCGGCCCGGGGACAGCCCAGGAACGATGTCACCACTGGCTTTCACCCAGCACGGGGCAACGCATGGCCGGCTCAGCGGCCCAGGGACGGCCCAGGAATGATGCCCCCGCCAACCGCCGCCCCAGCTGGGACTGCCACCCAGCCCTGGGCAATGCGTGGCCAGCTCAGCACCCCAGGAACGGTCAAGGAACCATTCCCCCACTGCCCCAGGGAAGGCCCAGAAACTGATGCCTCTGCTGGCCACTGCCCCAGCCGGGACTGCTGACCGGCCTGGGGTGACGCATGGCCGGCTTGGCTGCCCCGCTGCCTGGTACAGGTAAGCTGGGAGGGGGCCGCGCCACCTGCCCCATGGCCGCTTCACTGTGGCGTGCCGCAGACTCAAAGCCCCCTCCCTCCTTCCGCCACTCACCCTCCGTCTCCAGCTCTGCTGCTGCTTGGCCAATGGGCCGCGGCTTGCAGGAGGGCTGGCCCACTCAGTGGCTTCGCTGGCCTACTCCCAGCGGGGATCCCGGGGCTTCCCTGCGCAGCTCCCCGGCCCCATGCACCTCGGACGGGGTCAGTCCGGGAAAGGGATTTCCTGGCCACCCTTCTCCCAGGGGGTAGGGCAACCGGGCTCAGGGCCAATCAGGAGCTCTGCGAGGGGGCAAGCCTGCATGTGTGTGTGAGAGAGAAGGGAAACGCAAGTGCCCCCCCTCTCTCTCTTTGCAAATGGTGGAGGAGGCTCTGGAGCTGCAGGAGATGGATCAAAGAGCCGCATGCAGCTCTGGAGCTGCATGTTACTGACCCGTGCTCTAGAATGAATACCAAATCATCTGCAAATGCTTGCAGTTTGTAGGTTTCACCTTTTATTTTCAATCCTTTAATTTCTGGATCTTGTCTATTGTTTCTATTTAAATCTTCCAAAGTTAAGATAAATAGCAATGGGGATAATGGATATCCTTGTCTTGTGCCTTTTCGTATATCAAAATTTTCTGTGTAATCCCCATTTACAATTACTTTTACTGTTTGTTTCTGATATTATTGTCTGAATTGTATTTATAAAGTTTTGACCAAAGTCCATTGTTTTTAGTTGTTGAATCATAAATTGCCAAGAAACATTATCGAATGTCTTTTGGGCGTCTAAAAATACTAGTGCCAGTTGTTTCCCTAGATGAAGTTCATAATACTCCAATATATCTAGTATAACCCTCAAATTATTTTTTATCTGTCCCTTTGGCAAAAATCCATTTTGATCTGGGTGTATAAATTCAGTCAAATATCTTTTTAGCCTCTCAGCTATTATTGAAGTGAAGATTTTATAGTCCACATTCAGTAGTGATATCGGTCTATAGTTTTTGATCAGAGTCCTCTTTTGGTATCAAAGTAACATTAGCTTCTGTCCATGTATTTGGGAGTTTTGCCAATAAAAGTTCATTACATACATTTTTCAATAGTGAATTTAATATATTTTGTAAATATTTATAAAACTCTGCCGGATGTCCATCTGGTCCCGCTGTTTTTTTCATTTTTTAGTCTTTTTATTGCCTCTGTCAATTCCATCATTGTTATTTTTTCATTTAACATAGTTAAAATTTTCTGGAATTTTTGGTAAATTATTTTCTTCCATATATTGAGTCATTTTCTCCCATGGAGTTTCTTCCTTGTCATACAGTTTCTCATAGTATTCTTTAATTATCTTTTTTATTGCTTCATTTTTAAATTGTAAGCAGCCTTTTTCATCTACTAAATTGTTTATCAATTTTTTCTCCTTCTGTTTTTTAAGTTTATAACCTAATCATTTTCCTGGTTTGTTTGCATTTTCAAAGAAGTTTTGCTTTGTCCTTTTAATTTGTTGTGCCAATTTTTCTTTTTCTTTTATTAAGTTTTTTTTAAAAAATTTATTACAATATAAACCCTCCCCACCCCTCTCCCCTTCCCCCCTCCCCCACTTCCCAGAGCTGATTACAGGGTAACAAATAAACAAACATGATCTAACTAACATAAACCAACTATACTATCAATCAAAACCATAACATACTTTAACTCCTTCTCAAAACAAATATTAACAAATTAAAACAATAATAATAATATAATTAAAACTATTAATAATTATCTAAAATCTACTCAAAAGCAAGATAATACTTTTCAGTTTCATATTTCTTTTGAATATAATCAACCCATCTTCTCCAAACCA